AAAGGATTTAGAGTACGACTTGACCTCGCAGAAAAGGACTTCATTGAACTAGACCAATGACCACCTCGATGTTCAAGTATACGTACAGATCCGAGTAACCAGGCATCCCCTCCACGCACAATCTCCACGCCATTCCCAAACTAGATCATACACAAAAGAAGTTCTCCACGCAGAACAGAAAAACCTGACATAGCAAACCATTCTGAAATCAGATTTGAGTTTGTTGCAAAGACGTAGTCGTTGTCACTAGAAGACACAACGTCTTATGTCTCTAACTCCAGCTTCCTGGAACTTCCCTAACAAAAGAGGAAACGGAAGAAAATTATGATGTTCGCCAAAAACAAACGTCCATCATCCATCCTTCGAATTGCAGAAGAACTATTCTAAAAAACTCTGTAAAACCCGGATGGGTGGAACCTGATCTAAACTACATTTTATGATTGGATAAATTAAATGTTTTACCAATGTAAAGTATTTAATATTAACCAATCATGATCCATCTAACTAACAACCCACTTATTTGTAAGTGCTGAAGTTACTTGTAATTTCAGCACCAGAGAGATTTGAATTTAACTTAGAAATTAGTTGGACTCTCCCGAGCACTTCAGCAGCCGCAATAAACCAGTATACCCTAGATCTATTGAGCCTAGCAGAGACTAGTTAAACAACCTGAGACTAGATAGTATAAGAGTAAGATTAGGATCGGTATTAGACTAAGAAGTTGCACGAATCTATCCGGCCGAAAATAAGATAGCGTGACGAGCAGACGGTGTACCCTATCCGAAATTACTCTATGAGTTATACACTTCGGTCATAACTCACTTCATTACCCTTTCAGCTCTTAACTTTTCGTGTTCAGGTAACGAAAAAACGAGAATGAATTCTATGTTCAAAAGTAGATTTTTGTCTGATTGACTTCTATGTTCAAAAGCTGATTTAGCAGCGGTATGAAAATTTACGTTTTGATAGTTTTCCTTACTGTGATATATATTTCTTCGAAAGTTAAAAAGGATCAAATTTTCTATCAGTTTTTTTGGCTGCCTTTTCCTTTTGCATTTGAAGAAATATCTGTTGACTGTTTTGTGTCCAGCAAAACTAAGGTTATTGGCACCAATTATTGTAGTAATTTTTATGAGAAGTTCTGTTTTTCGTTATAAAAACGATTTTTTGTCAGCCGAACGACTCATTTTATATTGTTTTGCATCGCAAGTAGTGCAAAGCTCCGCGGAGCTGTTGTGTATATTAATTGGAGCATGGGAATCAGAAGCTTTTCAAGCAACAAATCACTGGCTAGGGAAGGGAAAGGGCACTGTAAAGAACGTTTCCACCGCTTCGACACACATGAATTGCGCATTGTAGATTCAACTATTATCAAACAGACCGAAAAACTGTTGTCACCTGGTACGTTTCGTTGCTTTTATTGAAATATTTGATTTGTTTGTTTCGGACAATTAAATCGGAGAGGAACTTTAGATTGGGGTGTGTTTTAGTTTTTTTCCACGCGAAATCAGGAACCACGAATAATCTTTGGAATGGGAAGAGTATTATATCATATTACAGCCCATCCAGCCGTAATTGGAACCAATTATAAAAAAAATTTCTTACTTGTGTCGAGAAAGAAGTTTTTCAGTTTCAATTTATTTCGAGATTTTTAGGCTAGCAAAACTTGATTTTACTAAACCGTAAAGTTTATAGCGCTTCTTAGGCAATTTTACCAAAATATAGCGAGGCAAACAATGTTTTTTTTGGATAAATGATGTCGACTATGCCTAATTCACTATATTTTGTTACTTTTGTCTAGTTTTTTTTGTTTGTATCACATGGCGACCACACAATGGCGTCATTTTAAAAAAATACATTTTGTGTTTTTTGAATGAATATGATCAGAAGATTCTTTGCTAGTTGCTCAGCAACTGGTCATCCTTGTTTTATTTAGCATCTGCTTTTTTTTTCTTCCAGATGGTAGAAGTAGAATTTTTTGCTCAAAAATCTGTGTTCAGTAACAGGATGAACGTAGTTCAGTATCTTATATAGGTCGCTATATTTTTGATTTATTTTTCGTTTTAGCAAAACTGTTAAAACTTGTTCAGTCTGATTTTTTTGCGGTTCATTTTTGATTTCTTTATCAGATCAGCTCGAATCTGTTGTTAAAAGCAAGCCAAATTTAACTATCGAACTACAAAAGTGTTAAGTCACATAAAACGTGGTCTACTTCTAATTTCGAAAAAAAGTTAACTTTCAGATCTCCCAGCGAGTTGCTTATTTTACCTATTGATGCAGTTTTAAAATTGGGATAATTTTATCAAAAAAGAATCTGTCGTTTTTTGCTCTAAAAATTTCGAATTATTCTATGGCCACTTATTTTTTTTTTTGCACAACCGAAAGTTGAGGTTTTCCAACAAAAAACAAGTCAGTGTTCAGTGGTTTTTAAACTGTTTACTTGCGTTTATTGACTTGACTCCTTTTTTTTTACTTAGGTACAGTTATACTAAAATTTTTTTCAAATATTTAGCTGAGTTGTTCAAATCTCTCCAACTGTCTGTTGACAACGTTCAGTATATACAAATGTTAAGTCAGTGCTATTGAACTATGATTTCTTCTGATCGTTTTTTTTGTGTTTTCCAAATTTACCTCAAATTTAGGAGAAATGAGGATCCACAGTTCGGCATGTATAAATTTGGTATCTGTGTAAATGATGAACTATGCTTTTTTAATCGTTTTTTTTCTCGTTTTTTCAAATTTACATCAAAGCTAAGAGAATAACTTTTGAAAAACCAAAAAAAAACTGCACGACTTACAAATTGGACTACACAAAACTTTTTATTGCCCTGAATTTTTCAAGCGTCCACATACGGAAAAAAGAAACGCATTAATTCTTTTTTTCAGGTATAGGGAAAACGGTTCACGTTCAAGTTGATTTTTTGTGGTCTCAAATAGTTCATTTACTTGAAAACCCATCACGTTAAAATTCATTGTAATTAGTTAAATACCATGTAAATTACTTTACAAATGAAGAAATAGGATTATTTTATCTATAAATTTTTTTGAGAAATTTACTAAAATTTCCGTATTCCTCGCGGCCAGATCGAAATCCAAACAAATTTTGTTTTGTATAAAACAAGTTTTTACCCTACGCGCTCGTTCGTTCACATTCACCCTCCCCAAGTTTACTCCTCAGCCCTACAGTTCACCTTCACTCCATGCGCCCTGCAAAGGTGCGGAATGAAGGAGCAATTGTGCGGTAGAAAGGGTCAAACGTGCGGGGTGAAGGGTTCAATATCTTACCATATACCAATTTAAAAAATTTCAAGTTTAAATTTGCAGAAAAATTTTGTTTCTTTTGTGAAAAAAATTCAGCCTGTACTTTTCATAGACAAACTCACTACCTACTGCTTGCCATTTTTTTCTTTCAAAAAATAGTTTCTATACTTGAGAAAACATGTGTCTTGTATTCTGATTTTTACTAGATTTTTACACGTAAACAACGTTTCCTGTAAATTTTTCATTTGCTATATTTTTGAACCTTAACAATTATCAGGTTTTTTCGGACTTAACCCAGAGGTGACGCCGTCGCTTTTGCACCCTAAAGTCCGGGGGTCAAATCTCGGTCAGACCTTGTTTTTTAATGAGTATGCAATTGAAAAAAAAAATGTCCGGTAAAAGTTATTTTGTCGGGCTTTCGTTTATCTGCTCAAGTTTTGTCGGCTTAATTGTCCCTTCACGGATTTTTCCTAAACTGTAAGCAAGTATCATTGTAGTTGCTTTTGTTGTTCATTATAGTTTTAGGGGGAATTGAATAAAAGAAAATGAAAAATCTTTTTTTTTCGGCTCAACTGGTGTCAAAGATGGTCGTCTTTCTTTCTGCAACGTAGGTTTTGTCTAGTTGCTAATTTAAAATTCAATTGAACTGCATCGCAAGTTTGCCTAGAGTTTTGTTTGATAAACGTGTAATATGATAATGCTTGATATTAGATCTTGATATTTTATTTTATTTTTCTTGAGGCGCCCTGAAAACATTTATCAATTTTTCCAAAAGTTGAAGTTTTTCTGTAAAACTATTCTGCCAATTTCCAAAAACGTTTACAATTGGAATGACCGCCATGGCATACTCCTCTGTGTGCTTGCATAATCGCCTCGTCTCTTTTTACTTTACCCCTGTCTACAGTCTTCGAAAAATTCGGTGGGACAAATTTTCGACCCCTGTTTTTCATTTTTTCCTTTTCTAAAAAAACAACCTTCCCAAATGGGAGATTTTTTTTTTCAATAAGCAGAACGGATTCGGAAAACTCCCCTGCATAATCGGCTTTTTCCTTAAATTGTGCGTATTTAATTGTCTGATACGCATTTTTCTTGTATGGAATTGTATGCTTAGCTTTTTCTTGTATGGAGTTGTATGGGTAGCGTTTTTCGTAAACGGATGTCAATCCGAGTAAACTAACAGCATCATTGGGGCGAATCTGATCTGTAATTGTGTGCATTTTTTCCTCATATGAAATAAGATAAGATGAAAAATGGTTTTTCAATAAACGAGGCTGAAATTCGATCATGCGTACTTAAAGTATCAAAACACAAACAACATTGATGGAGTCAAACAAACATACTAAGCAAATGGATACTATATTTAGTCGAATAAACCATATTGGTCAAATAATTATTTTTAGATTGAAAAGAAGTTTTTAGTACGAAAAAAGGCGCAACGAAAGTACGAAAATGGACGAAAATGTGGTTTTCATTCGACATTTAATAAATAACTTATTTACATCGCGATTCCGCAAATTTTTCTTATTTTGCAATTCGAGAAACTTTTAAATTTAATCTTTAAGTCAATATCACTTTTCTTTTTGTAGCTTAGATTTGTGTTTCGGTTCGTCGCATAATTCCGATTCCTACTTAGTTGTAGAAAAAACAACACGGTTTAATGTTTTTACTTGTCGGATCAATGAGATAAACTGCGAAATAAACAATAGCCAAACATCTGGTACAACTTCAAAGCATTTTTTTAAACTTTTTTTCTAGTTTTATTAGTTTTTTTTATTTGTTTGCAACATCAGATATTTTAGAACAAGATATTCGACTCGTTGTTCGACTTTGAACTACAAGTTGATGTTTGAAGCACTTTTATTGGTTAACTATACCAAATGTACTTTCGACTAATTTCAATATTCGAAATAATGATTACTATTTTGGTTTCGATTAAAAATTAGACCCGAACTTCGCAGAGTCTCAGCTACTTTATTATTCTTATGCAAAGTTTGAAAATTATTTTTAAACAGAAACAAGTTATGCTACAAATGCAGCTGAAAAATAATTCAACTTTTAAAAAAAATAGCCATTTTTTAACTTTCAGTAAACTTGCATTCCACTAAAAAATTCAAAATAAGATTTGATTCGTGAAAACCGTGAAACAATTTTGCCACTCAAAATTTTTTTTCTTACCATTTCATCAATCTCAACGTTTTGAACCAGATGAACGGTTACGTCATATTCTTACGACATACAGTGTAGATTACATCATTATTCCTGATTGCATCATACAACAATGATAGTGAAATTTAGTAATGCGACTGTGGACGCCCACACACTCTCTCTAGTGGGTGCAGTGATTGAGGCTGTCAACCTGCTTTTACAGTTCATATCCCACAGAAGTATTTGGGGGGTGGGTAATGAGATGACTTTTGGACCCTGGAAAACATGTATAGGTAAAACGTTAAGTAGCAAGTTTATGAATTAGTTCAAAACCTAAAAATCGCGATTTCTTGAGTATTTCTTGAGATTAATTTTCGGGCTGAGGAGATCGACTCATAATTCGAACAAAACAATCCAATGATGTCTGATTTTCAACCCAAATTAGGGTTTTTGACTTTCAAAGCCAAAGTACCAAGTGAATGTTCTAGACGTAAAAAACGGCCTTGTGTCGCAAAAACAGAGCTTCCTTAACAAAAAATCTTGCATGTGGGCAGATAACACAAATGGAGAATCCTTCGGCAAAATTTTTAAAGCTCACTGATGGCTCCTCTGCGCTTTGATGGAATCACAGTTAAAACAGCCGATTTTATTCGACCCATGATTTTATTCGACCCATGATTTGGCCCTGTTTGACTTTTGTATCGAGTGCAAACCTAAAAATGCTTTTTTGATTTTGTCCACTAGTGTATTTGCCTAGCAGTATACTGGGTTATTTGGCTTTTTGCATGTTTTACTGCTTTGCAGGAAAAAAATCATGAAAATTGGTTTTCTAAACTACGGTTCGAAAGCTCGAAAGTCACTTTCGAATCCATAACCGAAATGCATAGTCGCAATCCAAATTCTAGTCGCACAAATCTGGACGCAATATTCGGTCGTTTTCAATGAAATGTAGTCTGAAATTGTTATTTGTTGATTTTTAGTTGCAAATATCTGTAAATTTAATTTCTGGTCCCAATAACAAATGAAAGCTACAGCAGTAAAATTGCAGTTTTAAAATACAAGAATTTAAAGCCGAACTCAAAGTTGATTTCAAATTGAGCGCCCTGAAAAATTTCTAAAAATGGACTCTGCCGGTGGTCAGGTGAAAGTCTAGACATACCTGGGTTTTTGGACCTCTAACCTAAAAAGTCGAACAATGTCAACCAGAATCGAACAATTTCCAGTAGATTTGAACAAAGTCTCAAAAAAGGCCGACAAAGAGGCAAACGTGAAACTCCTAAGAAAAAAATATGGCTCTTTTCCAGTTTCCCCCTTTCAAAATCAATTTTGAAAAGCTTAATTAACGTTGTCATGGTGCCGTGAATTTTGGCGTGGTGAACAAATCGACAACTGTGAACAGATTTGTCCATCATACTTTACAGCGTAACATCAAGCATTTAGCCGTAAAAACACGTAAAACAAACATAAATCTCGGTATTTTGAAAGGGGGGACTGGAAAAGAGCCAAAAATATTTTTAAATGAATTTCAAGTCGAAGGCCAGAATTAGTTCAAACCTTTAAGACTTTGTGTTCAATAATTATGTTAAAAGCTTCAAGAAGTCCGCATGAACAAAGAATAACGCTCATGTTTTTATAACTAGAAAAAATTCTGATTTTGAAAAAATCAGCGGTTGAAATATGTGGCCGGAATTTTTGACGAGTTTAAGTTTATTTCAATGCTAAAAAACAATGAAATAATTGAGATGCAAAGAGATAACAAAGAGAAATTACAAAAAGCAGTTCTGGCGACGTACACTTTCATTTTGATTTTTACTCTTACAAAACGAATTGCGTCCAAGCACTCTTTATGTTATCAAGCTGTAAAATAAACATTTCTCAAATTAAATAAATTTATGAACTTTGTTGTCGAATTTTAATAACTTTTTAATAAGTTAAATTATTATTTTGAAAATTTTCGCAATATTTTGCGCTTATTTTAACTTTAAAAAAGCATCAATCGTGTTTCCGTCGTTGTCAGCTCTGCTCTGTTCCAATTAAAAACGAATGCAAGATCTTGCGCACTTCCCGTAGGATGTGTATAGATTTTTCCTCGATACTCTAGGACACGCCCCCACTTCGCAAGTGTTTGTATCTGGTATGTATGACCAGTGATTGAAAGAATAGCATCTTCTCACATAGCCTGTGTAATATTGACAAGGTTCGTCAATTATCTCTTTCAGATGACTTCGAGTATCCACTAAGACGATGAGACAAAGCGCCGAAAAGGCAGTCAAGGCGAAAACAAAATATCGAGCCATTGGGTGAAATTTTCAGAAGTTTGAAGATCTTGTATTATGATTTTTTCAAAAATATTTTCTGTTGCCGAGACTTTTACCGATGAAACAAAAAAATGTTGATTTTTCGAGAAATCACATCTTATTATATATCAATTGCCGCCTTTTTTAAACCGCAAAACTGGCGCGGATGCTATCTTTTATAAACTATTTGCAAATTAAGTTCAACTTGTATCAACAAGCTTTTTCTAATTAGTCTAGCTAGCCAGATGCTGTTTTTAAAAAGTTTGTTGTTAATTAAGTTCAATCAGTAATAACATATACTTTTAGAAAAAATCTAGCGACAAGAAGTAGCCAGATGCTTTTCTAGTAGATTAGAATTTTTGACCACAGTAGCCTGTTAATAGGAAATCAATTTTTTCTACTATTGTTTGAAACTTTGAATTATTTTGGATCCTTGTCAGCTCCATGAACATTATGAGAAAGAATGTTAACATTGTTCAAAATTCTTGTTTTATATAAACAAGCATTATGGAGATGAAAGTAATTTGGTTTTTTCATTTTAACTAGTATTTTTTTCTCGAGACGCTGTGGATTTTTTTTGCTATTTTCGGGAAAAAAATCTCACAAACTACAGATATATTTTTAAAATAGATGAACCAAATGAAAAATTGACTACTCCCCTGCTATTCCCTTTTCACCTTACCGCACTCCCTACAACCTCGGAAAAATTTCAGAGTTTTTTTTGGCTCAAGGTCAATATTGACTTAAGGTTTCAATCGAGAGAATATGTTGTACTAATTTTCTATGCATCAACTGTTATGCTCCGAAATTTGTAGACGAAAGTTACTTTCTCAAAATACTGCCATTTGTTAAGATTTTGACCGTTTTGTGATACTTTCTGACTTTTTTGGGTTATTAGTCGACCAAATTTGAGATTATACTTTTAGTCAAAAAAAATTTCTAAAAATTTATTATGATTATGCGGCTAAATCCTAATTTCTTGAAGTTTTTAACCTTTACAAATTGAAGTTAGCATCTAGTAACGTATTAAAAACATCAAAAATCTTGCCTCAATTCATTTGTTTTTACTCTTGAGCGACTCTTAGAATAGCCGCTTACGCTTTCATAGCGCAAAACATCCCGCACTAGCAGAGTTGGCAGTTTTCAAACCCAAATGACTTTTCAAAAAATCACAGGTTTAAAATCTATTGAGTTTGAGCTGAATTCATCAATGGCTTTCAGATGGTATAAAAAGTCCGCCTAAAAAAGGTTTGTTAAAAAATTAGCCTGGAGGAAAAAAACGCCCTTTCGTCAAATATTACGTCATTTTTTGAAATTTTGAACAATGCCGGAATCGAAAGCGCAGTCCGACTCTCGTTAGTGAGTCAACCACAAACACAAAACAGCAATCATGTAACTTTGTGATTGCTAAGATGAAGTTAAAAGTGAAGAAGCCAAAAATATCATTTTGAAATATTTTGATTAAATAGGATAGGATAGGTACGTACAAAAACGGAAAATAAGCTGACAATTAGGTCTTACATAAGGTCTCAATCTAAATATAGAAAAAACACACCGGTTACTTTTCGATACAAGTAAATTTTTCTGTATCTAACCACACTATATACAGTAGCAAGGGTAATCGATCCGTTTTGAAGTTAAGCACCAAACACTATAAAAATTTAAAATTATTTTCGTTTTTTTTTGGGAAATCTGGCATCGCTTGGAAGGAACCCGTTTCCAGTGACTTCGTCCCTTTAATCTGATTTACGATTAATCGGTTGATCAACAAAAAACAAAACTGCTCGTATCAGGGCGAAGCCCTGAATGTTCCGACGGCCTTTTAAGATCTTTGGATCTAAGAAGCAGAAATGACATGAAAAAATTAAATGTAAAAAAAGATAAAAAATTAAGATTGAGGTTTTTTGTGAAAATCATTCCCCCACAGTCCATAAAAAGTACAAAGTGAAAAATTTTGGATCTAGTAAGAAATCAATTAAGGCGAAAAAACCTCCTTCAACCAAGTTGGAACGATTTTTAAGGCGGAAAAAATCTCCGCTTACGCGTTAATAGCGCATAATAGATTGCTCGTTTATTGTCGCAAATTGGCCAAAATTGCAATCTTTAAACGCCCATAATTTTGCAAAAAAAGATCACAGGTGAAATATTTTTTCAAACTTCCTAAGCTCAAGACAACACTATCTTTTGAATGATATATAAAATTTTGGTCAAAATGGCTAGTTAAAAAGTCGAACTTTGAAGAAAAAAACCACCCCTAGCAGAAACGTTCTGTTACTTTCGTTACGAAAGTCGTAACAACAAGGTATTAAAGTGGGCCATCCGGTTGTGTGGGCCGCACCCGTCACCTACTGTTATGATGCTTCTGCATCGCGTCTCAACGCTACGCTTTTCAGTACAACTCGAGAATAACTGAAAAGAAGTAGCTGAAGCAAAAAAATCTTCCAATACTCGAGCTAAAAATTGCTTTTGTCGAATGAAATTTGACCGAAACTTCATTCCACGCACTGCTGGACAGACAGCACTAGAGTAATTTTCTGTATTGTTACACCCGTTAAAAATGAAATTGCGCTCTGTTAGTAGAGTCAGTGGTTTATCGCTCTTATGCAACTCTGAAATATGAACAATTCTGCAAAATAAATCTTTTCAAAATAACTCTGCAAACAGCGCAACGCTGATCACCAAAACAACAATACTGCTCATATCAGGTCGAAGCCCTGAATGTTCGGATTGCCTTTTACGGTCTATGGAGCAGTAATAAGATGAAAAGTTCGAATGTAATAAAATGAAATTAAAAGTTTATTATAAAAAAATTTAGATTTTTGAAAACATCACCCCACACGCCATATTAAGTACAAAGTGATAGAATTTGCTCCTATTAACAAACTAATTTTTGCATGTAAACCTCCTTGAACCAATTTGTAATAATTTCTAAGACAGATTAAATCTCGCTTAGGCGTTAATTGTCCCAAAATGGCCAAAATGGCAATATTTAAACC